GCATGACATGACCTAAAGATTTTTATCATATACCCGTGCCGTAGTTGCGACTCCATAAATAATCAAAGCACATAAGGCGATGAATTTGTTTGGGTCTCATGATATCAGAAAGGCGAAGGTTGTGAGATTATAAACCAATTTGTTTTTGTTAAGTGCCACCAATGCTGTATTCAGTGTTATAACTGTAGCAAATTGGCTGTTAGGCTAATTGCAACACCGATAGTCAATTCAATGTTTATTTGGCTTAAACAATTTCAATAAGAAAAAAAAAACAAAAAAACATGAGTTGCCTTAATTGGGATTTGAACTCCAGGCCTCTCGATTCCTAAACGAGCGTGTAACCCCTCAACCACGGGGAATTTATTAGATAATGGTCTGAAAAAAAGCCCACATTATCCTTACTTAGGGTTTATAGCCCTTATTGATTTTAAGTTATTTTTTGTTCACGGTAAATCTATTGTTTTACACTGATGTAAATAATCATGGAGTTTAGTATAAGCATGCATGTATATCTGTAAAGAATACACAATATTAGAAATCTTCGACAAATCGAGAACTATTTTTTCTCCCCCGAGAAGGCTTGAAAATTAGTGCGCCTGTCGTTTGACTATTTACGCAGTGATGTCCCTCAATTTTTCGGCGTTAATGTACTTATAAAGGAAAGTAACAGCATCGAGGAGTTCGGACTACTTTCGGATTTTGCAAATTAGCATTTCAGGGTCTGAATATTCGCTACCATTATTTTTGTTTTGGTCTGACAATCCAAAGAAATAAAATTGGTACTGCACGGCTGTTCATATATTTTTACGTGACGCCGTTAAGACATGTAAGCGTTACACTATAAAATTATGTGCGTCAACCAAAAATGATTCTTCTGCACTTTTAACAGTCTTTATTTAGGGTATATGATAAATAGAATATTATATTCCTGTAAGTTCATTACTGAATTTATTGAACAAGTTAAATAAAATTATATTTTGCTTGCCATAGGAAACTCGCATCATATTATTTATGCAACTCGTTCAATAAACTCAGTATTGACCCTAACTCACATATTGCGTGAGAAGAAAAATCACACTTGACTTTAACTAATGATTGATATTTCATGAGAAGGTAAATCATATTTGACATTACATAAACATTGATATTTCTTGCAAAAGAATTTCGTGTATCGAATGATTAAATCGTAAAATGACATTATCAAAAGAATTATATTATTTTATGAATATTATTTGACAATATGTGTACTATTGTATATAAGCTGTGATCTGTTTGGTATTCAAAACAATGTAGTAGAATGGTATATTATCTCAATATGTTTTGTCACTAAATACTTCTAGATTTTAAAGGGTATAAAGCTATACATATATGCTGCCTAAGTATACAGCACATTAATGTTTAAATTTTGAAAACTACCCGAGTGTATGAATAAATATTATATATGGAAATTTCCATAAGAGGAAATGACGCAGACACATGTAGAAATTATTGCTAAATGGTTAAAATCCTACTTAGATTAGCAGTTTAATGTTTTGTTCTCTAACATTGTATTATTTCACAGATATACTTACACTATTCAACTCCATGATTATATGCATTTACTGTAAAATAACAAAAGAAAGTAAATGTTACAATTCTTTTAAAAATTTGCCATAAAGTAATGAAAATAACATAAGTTTAACTAAGAAAATTTAATAAGATACATATACATGTATTACCCTTTCATTTTTGACATTATATGATTAACATTTTTATGGTTGAATGCACAAACACCTTTGTATGTGCAATCTCTGACAACTCAATAGGTAGAGCTTTGGAGTGTGATTCGAGCGATTCGGGTTCGATTCCTGGACGCTGCAGGTCACTTTCATTGTGATTGATCATGAAATTCTTTCAACGGTTATTCTCGCTGTATCTCTATTTTGGCATGTAGAGAAGTTTTTAGTTCCTTACAAAAGTGAAGACAATTACATGTATTACTGGTATACTTCATGACATGCTGCAGAGGAACGACGCGATGGCTGAACTGTGCTGTTGTAAACTCAATGTGGCATACTGTCATGTCCCGAATGAAACTACCACCATTGCCACCACTATGAAAGAAAATCGATTCTTTTCGTTGTCAAGCCTGTAGTCGCGAGTCAAGTTTTTATTCCAACTAAGATGGGACTTTTTACGATGCATTTGCATATCTCTGTTGCAAACTTAAAAAAAACTAAAAACTGTCGTAAGAACATGTTAGTATATCCATAAGAATTTATGCTACCGATAGGTATATTTAAATTGCATCTCATTTTGCGTTAAATCTAATCTTGCAGTACTTAGTTTTTCTTTTAGAAAAAACAAAACAAAACAATACACTGCGACATCTACAAAAATTTAAGAATCAATACATTTTCTACAAATACTTCCTTTTGATATCTTTTTTTTGTGTGATATAACTTTATGAATATTTACAGAAAATGACGATGTTTTCAACATCTGACGGTAATACTACATGCATGCAGGAATGCGACGGCGATAACAACTGCTTAGCGGTAAGAGCTTTCCCTTGTTAAATATATAATTTTACGACATCAAATCATTAAAGATGGTTCGAGGCGAAACATACGAAAAGAAAAGAAAAAGATCTCAAGTTTTATTTCGATAAACTACACATATAATGCTATTCTACATTAAAAATAGAATGTTTCCAAGGAAATGTGCTTGTTTTGTCACAGTACTTTGATTTACAAAAATGTGTACAAAATCTACAGACTCTTCCGCATTAACGACTCATTTTCGTGAATCAGTTATTTTTTAACAATACCTCCTTAAACGTAGCATGGTGTCTACTAGTGGCACATATATGACTAGTCTTGTTATAAATATTTATACAGCGAACGTAATAGTAATAGGTGGGTGTTATATAATGCTACCCAGCGGTCTAGTTATATAATGCTTTCCAGCGGTCTTGTTTTATAATGCTACCCAGCGGTCTTGTTATATAATGCTTCCCAGCGGTCTTGTTATATAATGCTACCCAGCGGTCTTGTTATATAATGCTTTCCAGCGGTCTGTTATATAATGCAACCCAGCGTTCTTGTTTTATAATGCTACCCAGCGGTCTGTTATATAATGCTACCCAGCGGTCTTGTAATAAAATGCTCCTCAGCGGTCTTTTTATAAAATGCTACCCAGCGGTCTTGTTATATAATGCTACACAGCGGTCTTGCTATATAATGCTACCCAGCGGTCTTATTTTATAATGCTACCCAGTGGTCTTATTTTATAATGCTACCCAGTGGTCTTGTTATATAATGCTTCAAAGTATTTAAAAGACAATTCCTAATTTTTGTCTTTCGATTATTTACAGCAATGTATCAATCAGACAGATAACGGCTATACCTACTTTTCAAGTCAATACAACTCCATGTTAGAGTTCACAGGTGAACGTGGTGAAGTCGTGAATAATTTATTTCATGGCATTCAGGGTTAGTAGCGAGATTTATAATATGTTGTTTTTTTTCAATAGATTCCAGGTTACTTTAATGTAACAGAGAATTATAAGCTGATATTTTATGTAAACAGGGATAGCTATGATGCAATAATGTATCTCATTTCTTAATTTTATATTTTTTGAATTCTGATACTATTTCGGTAACTTTCTCAATAGAAACATAAAAAAATCACCGAAACCGTACATCATTTTGAACAATCGATGGTATATCGACATATCTATTAATATCAATGCTTTCAACAAACGGTATGTAAGTGGAAATAAAGCATAATTTTGAAATAAATGAAATTACGTCTTCAACACCTAGAATTAGAAAAGCACTGATCTATAACTACATCATGAATAAGAATAAAAGCAAGGAAGGAAAGCCTACAAGTCTGATATATTTATCTTAAAATATTTTAACAGAAACGTTTTGATAAAAAAGTTGATACGTCCACATTGACACAATCTTAAATTTACGGAAAAGGACACTTGTAGGAAGTGCAAGTCATATTTTGACATATCAATGGCCATGATGAGTCAAGACCGAACTTGAGGTTTAGGTAAAAAGCTCACAAAAATGTGAAATCAAAGGAAGGTGACAGAAAGTGATAAGAATGAAGTGTCTCAGAAGAAAAGAAAGAGGAAAATGTATTGTGTTATATGAAGTTGTTGAAATCAAATATTAGCTTGTTATAAATAACTGGAAGAGGTGAATAAGATTATGACCCCTTTCTATTAAATATTGACACCCCTTACAAAATAATGACCCCCAATTTAGTCAATTCGAAACGGGTGTAGGGTAGAGACTTAGTAGGATATGGGATATTTGTGTCATTTTAAGTCATTTTTAGACATTATGGCAATATAAAAACATGTAACACAAAGGTTCATATGCTTGTATATGTGCACATTTATCTATATAATTGAAATGTTAAAAAGGTAAAATTGGACATAACTTCCGAGAAAGTGGAGAAAATCAATTTTTTGTTTGCAAAACAATTAAAGCATCAGTAGTAATAGTCCCTATAAATCATTTTCAATAATGAATAAGAGTTCAGGTCACAAAATATGTTACACGAACGGACGCACTCACGAACGTGTTCCTATACCATATTCTTCTCCGATACCAATAGGTTGTATCTTAGGAGGCGTTATTCTATAAGGGGTTCACAATTCTCTGTGAGTGTCATTTTTCTATACTTATTGAAAGACTTTTTTTTAAAAAACTTAGCTAAAATTTTAAAAAAATCATACATGGACCTCAATGAAATCCTGCTTCAAAGTAAATGTGTGGATATTAGTTACTCTTTTGGCAGTACTTTTAGAGTAAGTTTGACAAGATGCGGTACCGAGATACTTGGCATGTACACACTCAGTGAAGTGTGTTCGTATGGTACAAACAGACATTTATGAGCTGGCTAACACTTGTCTTCATCGACAGCAGGGTAGAGCTTGTCACTAATGGAATTGAAAACAACAACAACAACAAATAAAATAAAACTCACTTCACCGATCTGAATATTATCAGACGTGAAAAAACCAAGACATTGACAGCAAAAGCAACATTTGGTAACGTTTATGTACTACAAAATTTGCAGAAGTTATTATCAAAGGGACGAATAAAATTTCTATGTTTCTCATAAGTTTATCAAATAAGACAACAAAGAATTGAGATTAACATGAATAACGATATAAAAGTGAGCAAATAGACCTTTTGAGATTATATTTTCTTTGTTTTATTGAAATTAAGATCAACTTATGGAATCTGCGAAAGCGAATGGCAAAGGTAACTCAGAATCAAACACAAATAACGAAGATGACTTGTTGGTACCTAATACAAATACAAATACTGGTTTTGTACATGTCAAGGTTGTTATTTGTGGATCTATAGGTGATCTGTAAGTACATCGCACACGTTATTTTGATCCCCGATTCGAGAGTGTTATATATGAAGAATGAGATATGCTTTACCTTTCTAAAATACCTGTACTTTCGGGTCAGTACTGTAAATTTAATTAAACACAAACGTAGCATAGATTATTTACTATAGTCTTGCAATGCACATGCATTACAACAATAATTAGGCCTTACTTGTTGTGTATCTTTCTGACATCTGAATGTAATCATATCAATTCAATTCACAATGAAAATCATGTAGATAAAATAACACGGTCATCTTTTTTCCCAGGTTTTATGACTTTGTTGGTGGCAATTATCAGGCAACTTTGGATGAAATAGAATGTTTTGTCACACTTATCTTCAATCAAGTAAGATATTTATGATATTTTGTAACATTTGAATAATATATTACGTACGTTATCATGTAAAATATATAATATGGGATGCAATAACAGTCCGAGTGGACAATTGATTATTAAATCAGTTTAGTAGCATGTTAATTAAGAGACGGTTGTACAATTATGGATATGAAATTGTGAAACGTTACACTAAATTGTGTTTGCTTAAGATATTTTAATTTCTTCTTCATGTCTCAGAATGTCATTTAAGGGCAAACAAATAAAGAAAAATCATAGTGCAACACTCCACTTTACGAAGTGAGGTAGACCTCTGTGTCCTTTTGTGCATTACCAAGTATTGTATGCACGTGTGGGCACCTGAAAAGAACTACAAAGCTTTCGTTTGTAATACTTATAGTTTTCCCCACTAATAATAATTCAAAGATTCTGTATGGATTCAAACCAACAAGTGTTGTGAAGGGCAAATGTTTAAAAGACATCGACAATTACCATTCGATATTCAAATATAAAGTATTTTTAACTACATAAATTGACTTTTGTTTCAAGTTTTGTCTTGCTTCAATTGAAAAATACAATTTTCTTATGTTAAAGTGTTAAACCCAAGAATTTCCCCCCTTTTTTCGGCGTTTGTATCCATCTTTATAAGTTGGCTGGTACACTATCTTCTGTAAAGAAATTAATGACTTCATAAAGAATCAAAGGCAAGATTTGATGTAAATGTCAACTATTGTATTTTGATAATGTGTAACTAGGTAAATATCATAAAATTGTTCTAAATCATTCCCAAAGGTGGCGATAAATATGAGAACACTAAGAGATTGGAAGAAACAATACACTTCTGTAGATGGTAAATCATACAAACTTGATCTTCAAATAGCTTTTGATATTGAAATGCCAGTGTTTCAGGTAGGTAAATCTATTTGCATTATTTACAAATTATTTTAATTCTGTGTTTACTGAATGACACGTGAAATTTAAATTATAAATCAACTTCTTTTTAAATCAGAGGAAAATTCATCAATGCTAAAAATGGAAAGCATTCAGTCCTTTTTTCTGTACAACCTTTTTATATTGTTCACGTCATTGTAAGTGTGTTATAAGCCCATTGGGCGATTCATCCTATTATTGTGGTATTATAAGGAACATGAAAGTCTATTTTAAACTAAACATGATGTACTTAAATATTGTCTCGTATAAAAAATAAAAAAACTCATTTGAATGATATAGATATGTCGTCAATATAAATCATGTAATGTAATTTAGGATGGTAGTTTTCAACTCATACCTCCAGTAGCTGACAACCTTGAAGGTGACTGGGTGACAAGTGAAGAGTATTATGACCAAAATTCTAATTTTCTCTACGAAACTGGATTAAATTTGGATTTCCTCTCCTACATGCGTGCTACATATGGTGCGACACGTGCTTTTCAACATTTAGCCTTCTTGACAGAGTAAGTGTTTGATACCTTTTTGAATGGGAAGTACATCTTATCTTTCTAGCATGCTGTAATGTCATGACTCAAACATGAGGCAAACACTAATATATTATTAATGTAATTTATTTACCTACTTAAACCTATGATTCTGATAGAATTATGAGCGAATTTCCAAGCAGCCGGTTGGCGTGGAAAGTATCAATGCAGTTCTATCTCTGTTTTATAAAAACAAATATCACTCACATGAAATCAATCAATCACTTGTAGACGTAATTGTACAGATTTTTTTTTGAAAAAAAATATTCATATTGCATGTATTGATTGGTCAGGTTCTAGAAAAAATGTCTTATTTCTAAAGATTTGAAACAAGCTAACTTTAACTAGCTGCGCTTAAGATTGAAATAATTAATTTATAATAATTAAATCCATGTGTTTAATGCACCATACAGCTATCACATTCCGGTGTTCAAATTTTGTCTTGAACCCGCTTTTATTCTTTAATCATCCGATAAACAGACATATGTTATTGAATATAAAAAGTTAAAGATATACTATGACCACCTTGAGTAAAATATTTTAATCATAGAAATTCATGTAAATCTATGAAATTCTTACTGAATTTATCTAATTGAACCAAAAGTGTTAGTAAACTATGTACGGGAAGCTGCGTTCCCTATTACAGATCAAGTAAAGTTGGTCTTTCATTTAAAAAACTGCCAGTTTTTTTTAATGACACTATATTTTCATATTGAGCCCACCTATAGTGTGTAGAATTTCCAACATATCAAATTTGTGTGAAGTCAAAACAGGTTTATTTTATATTTACAAAGAGACTATGTAGCAATTATCATTATTTTCTAACATCAAATTTGAGCATAGTACAGTTGAGTTCACACTAAACTTCCCACCCTTGTGCACTTCTAGTGCACTAGAGCTGAACTAGAAGTGCACACCGTGTGCACTTCTAGTGCACTAGACCATATGATCAAGCTGGCCAGGGAAGGTGACACATAAATGGTTTATTGGATAATTGCATATCAAGTGACAGGGGGCATCCATTGTTAAGCTGCTATAAGAAAAAAAACTTTGGGAATATATGGCCTATTCATGAATGTAAATAAGTAAATTTTAAAATCAGCAGTTTTAACATTTTAGGTGATATTATGTTAAAGCTTAAAATTAAAAAAAATTATTGTAATCATATTTTTACTAACCAGTATTTAACTGTAAGTGTAAAATAATACCCCTTAAAATCAAATTTATAGAATTAAAAAAGGTTAAATTTAAATATGCTCTGTAATGGATAATTAAATAAGTGTTTTTGAAGCTTTTTTTAATGGCCGTGTATTTCAATTTTTCTAGTGTACAAATGGGAAAATCAATGTGATAATTCTGGCCGAATAAATTTAGTTTGTAACAACATAAACTTTTTTTTCATAAGCTCAAAAAATCAAGGAAAGGTTTATATTTAAGCTCAAATATTTTTTCTATAATATTTAACTTAGAGACAATTCGTCATGTTCAATATGAAAGAGAATATTAATACATTGATTTTAAAACAACCAATATACTGTGATAATTCAGTATTCAACTGTGTAATGCTTGCATATGTAAATAATTAAAAAATTATCCATAAAATAAATAAATTTGATAACTTTATTCATGATTTCAATATTAAAAATTTAATGTATAAAGGGAATACTTTTAATAAAGAGGAAAAATCCCAAGTCATGCTGTGTATTGGTATTTTCTGAGAGGGACTTTTTTCATTATACTACTCTCCTGCTGACAAGGGAGCCTCGGGGGAAAATAACAAAGAACAGTCAATTTTGCAGATTTTAAGTATGCATTGAAATTCCCTGGTTTTCTCAAAATGCATGTTTAGACAGAAGCCTGGGTAAATGACCATAATTTTTGTATAATCAAATATACAAAAAAAATCATAATGGCATAAATGCATATTAGATATTATTGTCTCTAAAGCGGAATTTTCTATATTTATCCATTTAACCACTTTTCTTGCCATTCTGCATAATAATATATTTATAACTAATGAGGCAATTATTCATGTTCAAGATTGAAAGAGAATATCAAGTCATTGATTTTAAAACAATCCATACACTGTGATATTATGTTTTTTCAACCATGAAATGCTTGGATACTTTTAAAGATATAAATAACTAAAAATTTTCCATGAAATAAATGAAATTGATAACTTTATTCAAGATTTCTATATTAAAAATTTTATGTATGAAGGGAGAGGAAAGTCTCAAGTCATGCTGTGCATTGGTATTTTTCTGACAGCGACTGTTTTCATTACACTGGTCTCCTGCTGATAAGAGGGCCTTAGGGTAAATTAAAAAAATGCAGATGTACGCAATATTTATTTAAAATTTCCTGTTTTTTTTCCAAAATACATGTAAGACTATAATTTTTGTATAATCAAATGTAAAAAAATAATCATAATGGCATAAACGCATGTTAGATATTATTGTCATTTTTGTCTTTGAGGTGGAATTTTCTAATTTTATCATAAAAAATGGTTTAAAATCAATATCAGTGTTTACTATTCTAGAAAGACCTCATATCAATATGTATCCATATTTTCTTGCAATTCTGCATTACAATTTGCAGCTTTTTAGTTTCTGAACTGGGAAATGTTATTTTTTTTCTATTATAGATTTGACAAATTTTACTTATCAGTTTTAACACATTTAGAAGATAAGAGATCTATATTTTAAAGAAAATATTTAAATGCATGATGATAAAACTTTTGCAACTTCCTTTTCACTTCAATGCAAATCTGTTTTTGTTTTTTGTTTTGTTTTTTCAATAAAATATCATACATGAGCAGAAAACAGTAACAGAAGATAAAAATGTCAAAAGTCATGCTGTGTATTGGTGTTTTAATATAGTACCCTGCTGATAAGAGAGCCCCTCAGGGTAAAGAACAAAAGGCAGATGATAAATATAAGTAGGCAATGTAAATTCTGTATTCTCTGGATGTTGATGCAAATAAATTTAATTACAAGTACTACAAAAAGAAAACTGAAATATTTTTGCATTTTATAATAAACTCATAAAAGTAATAATATTGCATAATTATGTTACAATGCATGAAAAAAAGAAAAAAGATAGATGTTGTCTCAAAAAATGGAATTGAAAGATTTTCTAATCTTTTTGTCAATATCCATGTCAGTTAAAGTATAATAGTGTCCCACAGGTACATATCAATACTTAATCCACACATATCCATACTAAACATATCACCATTATATAAAAAAAATTATTTTCAGAATAATATATATCTTTTATATTAATATTAGGTAAATCTCAGTTTGAGAAGGTAAGAGAGATTATAAATGAGATAAAATTGACAAAATTTAGGCCAATTATAAACATATTAATTCTTTAATGTATTAAAGGCTACTAATGCTTAAAATCATTACCTTTAATTAAAACAACCATAAGTTAAGATTAAAAATAAGTAATTGATATAATTTGCCCCCCCCCCCCCAAAAAAATAATAATAAAAAAAATGACTGAATTTTGTTTAATTAGCATTTCAATGTTTCATATTTCATTACAAGATTATAATAAAATAGAATCATATTTAATATCAATTGATTTTTTATGCCCTTATCAACATTAAAGTTATAATTATTATTTATATTTACTTAATCTAACAATTAAGTTTTAAAATACAAAATCTGCAAAATTAATGACTTTGAAAACTTATTGTTCTAATATTTTACGCCATATTTTACAAAACTTCAAATTTCTCATGTGAAAAACTATTATACAGATATCTATATTGATCTATCTTTCTGTAAAAGTCAAATTGCTATTCATTGAAATAAAAAGGTAACTGCTTAATACAATTATTATAGGTCTGGTGCACTACAAAGTGCACTTATGAAGTGCACTAGTTGTGTACTACTAGTTCACTTTGAAGTGCACTAGTAGTGCACATCTAGTGCACTCCTAGTGCACTTTGTGTAACCTTTAGTGTGAACTCAACTGTATATCTTTAAATATTGATAGGTAAACTGATTCGACCTTTCGATACCATATATAGAAGAAATGAAACATTACTTTCAAGTGTACATTTATACATATTTGTTTTTGTTACCCTAGAAGGTTCTCTCCAGAACTTTAACTTACTCATCAGCAGGTGTTAGGTGATATGTAGCAACTGTTGAAACACGACAATTTAATTTCCATTTGGATGATTTTGAGCTCGACTATACGAAGTATATGGAGAGCTGTCCTACTCGCCCCGGCGTCGGAGTCGGCGTCCGCGTCCAGATTTCAGATTAAAGTGTTGGTGCAGTAAAATATTTTTCATTATAACTTTTTTATTTCTTAAGGTATCAACTTCAAACTTAAAAAAAATGTTCTTATCATCAACCACATCTTATGTGACAAGGTTCATACTTCTAGCACCAATATTTTTAGATTTATCTCCCCTTCAACTTAGAAATTTACTTAAAAATATTTTTTTTTACCGTCAATTATTTACTTCTTAAGGGATCAACTTCATACGGCGATTATATGTTCCTTGTCATGAAACCACATCTTATGTGACATAGTTGATAACTTTAGCACCAATATTTTCAGATTTATCTCCCCTTGAACTTAGAATTTTCCTTAAAAAATATTTATTTTTACTGTTACTTCTTTATTTCTAAAGGGTTAAGCTTCACACTTCAAATATATGTTCTTTGACATCAACCTCATCTTAGGTGATAAGGTTCATAAGTCTAGCACCAATATTTTAAGATTTAACTCCCCTTGAACTAAGAATTTTCCTAAAAATAAATATCATTTTTTACTGTTACTTCTTTATTTCTTATGGGGATAACTTGATAATTCAAATATATGTTCCTTATCATTAACTACATCGTATGTGACAATGTTTATATCTATAGCACCAATATTGCAAGAATTATCTTGATTCTATTAGTTTTTTGTTTTTGAAAAATGTTATTTTTACTATAACTTCTTTAGTTTTAAAGGTATCTACCTCAAACTTCAAATACATATTTCTTATCATAAATAATTTGCATACTTAATACATAACCGTGCCATATGAAAAGTGGCACTGAAATGTGATAAATGCAGAATTTTACCAGAAGTGTTAAAATATTTTCAGTTACGATATAGTATTTATATACTACTTCCTTGATTCCAATGGAAATGTTGTAAACGAACAGATATTTAGCAGTGTCATAGGTAAGATGCTTTACTAGTCCACCATTTTCACTTAAACTCTCTGTTTTCTCAACACACAATTTAATTGAAAAAAACATAACACCGATTCATAGATAGATGAATATTTACAATGTATTTATGTTCTAACACTTAATCATTGTATAATAATTTGAAACCATTGCAATCTATTAGTTTGTAAAAATAAGAACGTAAACGATCGGTACTTAACCAGAAGACCAAGCCAAAGGTGCGAAAAATTAACACTGCTATGCGCAATCATTTTACAATGAAAGGCCATATGCATCTTTATCCTGATCTTATGAGGTGTATTGAAAGGATTCTCGCATTTGGTAAAATACGACAAACTGTTTTCTTGTACTTATTTCATGTATTTTGGAATGTTCTTCTGCACATGGTAAGTAATCATTTTTTTCTTTACAAATGTTGTGTCGGTTCAAATATGTAAGTTCCTTCGTTAAAGGTTTTGTACCGTCTCTTGCAACTATGTGTGATGATTTCTCCGCACTACCATATGACTTGCGATATTCAATTAGTGAGATGTTCTCTCCATCTGTATCAAGGATTTTAACTCACGAAATGGGACACAGGTAAGCGACGAGCTTTATAGGTAACTTATCAATCACTGATTACGTAACTAATGACGTAGATAATGTAACTTACAAATTAGGTTGCAAGTTTCACTGCAAAGATGGTCATACGTTATTGTTGAACAAATACGAACTTTAACGCATTAGGCCATACTTTATTCATGATTTAGGCCATACTTAATTCCCGAATTACGTCAATCTCAAATCGCAAATTAGTAACGAATTCTCTATTCACGAATTAGGTTGATTCAAATTAATATCAAATTAATACCATATGTTATTTTTAAACTGTATTATGGCTTACATTTTAAAGAAACGTACTGACTTCTAAAATTAATATTTATTTGATTGAATTGACATTTATTTGACTGAATTTCGCCGAAGTAATTTTTATATTATTGTGTTTAAGATTCTAATGCAAATCGTCTTTTGTCGTTTCTAGTTTGGGTGCTCCCCACGATACTGATATTGATACCACTGGAGAATGTTCTCAATTCTTCGTCATGTATCCTTCTTTGTTTCCGCCCCTCGACAACTTTCCATATCAGAACTTTGGAACATTCTCTGAGTGTTCGGCAGACTACATTTCATCTTACTTGTCCCAGTGAGTACAACATGTCATCTATATTCTGCACAATTGCATTTTTTGTGTGTAAAAAGTAAAGTAAATTACATAAATAGTCATGGTTGGTGCAATAAAAGCCGTCTTTTATGACATGCAGTATATTTATAAAAGTACATTATTATTGTAAATATTTACATATCTTACTTTACAATGTACCTGAAATCCAGTAAGAAAGCATGACACTTTGGTTGAATACAAATACTTTATTTATAGATTCAATAGTGAAGACCTTGCAACGTGCCTGTACACTAACAGACCTACTAGAAAAGAATTTTTAAATCAGTTCTGTCAAGGTTTACCCGGAACAAAATATGGACCAGACGACCAGTGTAAAATCTTCTTTGGCATGAACAGTTCCGTCTGCTCGTCTGTAAGTTTATCCTTATATCATTTCATTAATATCTTTTCTACCTTGTTTAAGTTGATATTTAAAGATAGTCGCTATTTTATATGTAATTCATATTAGACGTCCGTCAGACAGGTACATTTGAACCTCTCCCTTGAGGAAAGTATTCAGGTTGGCTCACTGAAAGCGTCGACAGATATCTTCTTATACCCATAAATCTTGCTGGTCGCCTTATGATCTATCTGTAAAGCGTGCTGAAATGACCATTCCATTCTTATATTCTGCAGAAGTGAAAGAAATTTTAATCAAAGATGTGTTAAATATTTGATAATAGAATTAACAACATCAACAATAATAACAACAATTGTAGTTGTGGTAGTCGTAGTAGTAGCAGTAGTAGTGGTTGTGGTGGTAGTGGCAGCAGCAGTAGCAGTATCAGTAGCAGCAGCCAATATCAACAATAACAACAACAATAGTAGTTCTAGTAGCAGTATTAGTGGTAGTTGTAGAGGTAGTGGCAGCAGCAGCAGCCAACATCAACAATAACAACAAAAATAGAAGCTGGAGTAGTAGTAGTAGTTGTTGTTGTAGTAGTGGTAGTGGTGGTGGTGGTGGTGATGGTAGATGTAGTGCTAGTAGCTGTAGTAGTAGTAGTAGTTATTGTAGTGGTAGTAGTAGTAGTAGTGGTAGTGGTGGTGGTAGTGATGCAGTAGATGTAGTGCTAGTAGCAGTAGAAGTAGTAGCAGTTATTGTAGTAGTAGTAGTAGTAGTGGTAGTGGTAGTGGTGGTGGTGGTGGTGGTGGTGGTGGTAGATGTAGTGCTAGTAGCAGTAGAAGTAGTAGCAGTTATAGTAGTGACAGCAGCAGCAGCAGCAGCAGCAGCAGCAGCAGCAACAGCCAACAATAACAATAACAATAACAACAACAATAGTAATTTGAGTAGTAGTAGTGGTAGGGTAGTACTAGTAGCAGCAGCAGCAGCAAAAGTGATTATGATAATATCTTTATCGGAAGATGCTTCAATTAAAACACATTTCACTATATTATACATATATTTACAGATGTAGTGCTAGTAGCAGTAGAAGTAGTAGCAGTTATAGTAGTGGTAGTGACAGCAGCAGCAGCAGCAACAGCCAACAATAACAATAACAACAACAATAGTAATTTGAGTAGTAGTAGTGGTAGGGGAGTAATAGTAGTAGCAGCAGCAGCAGCAGCAGCAGTGACTATGATAATTTTTTTTATCGGATGATGCTTCCATTAAAACACATTTCACTATATTATACATATATTTACAGGGAAATGATAAGTTACTGGAGGGATATGTTGATTACAATCGATGTAGACTCGAGTTAAAGGATGGGTCTTATGTTAGACTATTTCAATGTTCCAATGAAGGAGATTGTGAAAATTCGTACGGGGTACAGGATGTTTTTGATGGTACCAGATGTTTAGATGAAGATGGAACTATGGGAGATAAGGTAAATTATACTGCTTTAAAATTTCTTTGAGAAACTTTCAGTGCTCATAGTTAAATCTTTATAAGTCTTTGTACCAAGTGACTGTAAATGATTCCTTTATTGAACTTAGCGGAATCCACAATTATAATAAATGTTTGTATCGTCAAATTTAATTGGGAAATCAAGATGTTTATACGTATTATCTATATGTTCGGCTTGCAGTGCATTTATGAAGGTTTTCTTTTCATTTTTACAAGAATAAGGTAATTGTAAAACATTTCACAGGTTTTACAGATTGTGAAACAGTTGTTTGCTTTATTGTTAATTTATAAATGTAGTATAAATATAAATATATTTTTTGGATGGTCATTCCTAGATACTATGTTAATCTTGCTGACTTTTCTTTCATTTAAAATTGATAACTATGTTTTGTTTTATCCACGTTCTTTCTTTGTAATGTGTCTCTTAAATGACCATTGTACAAAAACCAAATAAAATAAAATAAAGAAATGAAAATTCTAAAATACAAAGGCGAATACGGTGAATAGAATGCTAGACTAATTACGCGAAACAAATGGCGCTTTCAAACATATTTATAAGTTTATATTGTATTTCTTACACCTGAAATGAAACATTTATTTTATAACGCTACATAACCCCTACTTCTGATTATGGATGTCTTATTTGGTCCCAATGTAACAAATCAGATCTAAATAGAATAACAAAATTGCAAAAAAAAAGAAGAACCGCCAGAATTATTTCAAATTATTTTTAAAAAAAACCGTAAAAACAAATTCTCTCAAATGTTTCAAAATATGAAATGGTTATCTTTTCCATCGAGATATTAATTTTTCTGGAATTATCGTATTTAAAGCGATGAATGAATTAACGCCAGCATATATTTCTTATCTAATTCCGCTATCTCAATCAACACATAAAAAAGAGACATTATGCATAAACGACCTAAAACAAATTATTTGAAACGTACTTTTTTATATTCTAGTATGGAGTTATGGAACACTATTCCTTTAAAAATAAGAAATCTTTCAAGTCTTTAAGCACATTTTAAACATTTATTATTATCTAAAGATGAATAATAGAAAATTTACCTATACTATCATATAATATTATGTTTGTCTTCTTTGTTGATTAAGATTTACTGAATGTTGTAATCCTTGTAATATTGCTTACAATTATGTCCATTATTATGTTTATGTTTAACTTTATTGAAGGCCTTTATTATTATTATTATTATCATTATTATTTTTATTATTATTATAAACACATATCAAAATACTGTGGCTTAAAAAGTGACCTGCAGAAATCTTTAAATTACTTCATATTGACGGTAGAGCTTTAAAAAAGCAATTTCAGCAAACATAATCTGATAAATCTGAATAAAGTATAAGACAATGTTAATAAATATATGTAAATATAACAAAGATGTTTGTTTACATTGTCAACTGCCCGTTTCTTATCAAGAGCGACAACCAAGATTTAGTGGCAAAGTCTAAACGCTGTTTGTCATTGCGATCCGGCATAGGCATTTAAGCCATAATGAACATCTTTGGGCTATAATTGTATCACAAGTTTGCTTCTTTAAAAGGAAGCATGCGAGAGGTCTTTTTGCAGCTGTTGAAGATTTGTTTATTTCGAAAATATTTGAAGATATTTTTGTGTAAAGGCACCAGAGATTTTCCAAAACGTACATAAAGTATGTCAAGCAAACACTTATAAGTTCCAGATTTACATAAAAAATGTATATATCATTTTATTGGAAAAACAATATTAACAGCTGCATGCCTCCAACCACGAAATTTCAAGAAAACGAAACTTGAGAAAAATGTGTGCCATTTGCGCCATTTACGCAAAAAAATCTCCGTTGCGTAATTTAGCCATACCGGTTCAAAAGTTTAAGGAGCAGTAAATTTTTGGTACAGTGTTCACTCGGACATATAATACTGCATGATGATATTGCAGCTATAGTGTTCACTGTTACTTTTTTTTTTGAACATTGAATAGTAAAACGCTATTCAGAAAACAATTATGTTTAAAGGATTAAAAACGGAATAAACCATGAGTGCTCGTAGTGTTAAGTAACGTAAATGATATTGTTTTATTTTCCTTGTACCGATTTACTTATTTTTTGTTTATGTCAAGTCGTATTTTGAAGCGGAGCATGCGTATAACAATTTTTGTAGACTGATTCTAGTGATTTTAAGCTTAAAATGCGATGAATTAGCTTCAATTTGATACGCAAAAAATGGATGCCGCCAGCAATCATTCTCAACATTGTGGAAAGATCTGATGTACATTATGCACATCTTCGGGCCATTATCGCATAATGGCGAACAGCAACCAAGTATTAACCTCTAATTATTCACGTTACATTGTGTTTTTCGCGTAATTACGCCTTACGGTTTGTGTAATAACGCCTTTCCAATAGTTTATGTTATATCATTTGGTACTGATAGACATTCGTACCATCCAGTTTTGAGGAGTTCATGTCACAATAAATACATGTCTATGGTAATTGTATGTTCCATTTAAAGACCACCAACTGTTTAGTAATGCATGAATAAAACATTTGAATTTCTTATTTCAGTATTGTTATCACGGAGAATGCCAAGAGAAATACAAGATTTGCAATCCTGAAGATTATCCTGGGAACTAAATTGACAATGCGAATTAGGACAATCTTGATACAATCACGACTCAAAAATTATTTTTCTTCATATAAGATTCAATATTTTCTTACCAGTTTAAAGTTCTCTTCCTCTGTGAATTTTAACATCTTTTCTATATTTTATGATTACTTTGCTGATAACAAATCGTTACTTTCAAATGTCAACATAATATTTGTTTTTCGATCAAAATAAAATAGCATTCAACAGAAGTTTTGTTTTATTTCTGGACTCACCTTGAACATGTATTAATCTACTACTGCTTCAAACAAAAGCTGTCAGAGGAGACAGCACGCTCGACTAGTAAAATACTAGAAGACTACGCTATGAAAAACAATCATTTGTGATATAAATACATTTCTGTATCAGTATAGAGAAAGCACTCAAGTGTTCAATATTTTTGTAACACTTAATAAGGTCACCATGACAATAAAAGTTCAAAAGACTATGCTCTTATGAAAAAAAAACAAAAAACAAAACAACAAAACAATTTGAAATCTAAAGTAAATCCATTCAGTAACAAAAATAATAAGAGGAAAAAGTACAAGTTTTAAAAGTAAAATTATAGATTCAATTTGAATTTCAACTATCTATATTCTCTGTAGATATTTGTTTGCAACATGCAACCGACATTATTGTCTCCTCTGCTGCTTGGGTTTTAACAACCTCAGATAATAGTGATGCGAAGAAACAAAAAGTATGTTGAACTAAATGTATATTATTGAGACACGTAATTTAGAGAAGAAAATGATTGCAATATGTAAATATAAGAAAATATCAGTGTAATGATTCATGTATCAATAAGGGAGAAAAAAACGTGTTGAGTAACTGTTAGTTCACCCCAAAAAAAACACGTATTGAAATAAACTTACATAGCAATATTGTCAAGAGAAACTGTTAACATTATTAAATAAACAAGTATTAAAGATCCTGTAACTAAATTTTCTATGGTTTTATATCATAAATATAATGTTCAAATTAAGATTTATCAATGTTTTAAGTTACAAAAAGCATTATTTGTAAAGATATTACCGAATTTACATTTCAAGTGAATAAAGGGAGGTTATTAGAAATTCATTTTTATATAAAGTCTAAGTCAATTTTTTCAATAAGAAATATATGCATATATTTTACTGATTACATATAATATGTACAAATATTTACAGTTCATATTTTACATATTCTTCTATGTTTGAAGTAAAGATTAAGCAAACTCCTAAAGTGACTAGGAATATATATATATGTTTAATTTGCAATTTTACTTTAGAAGGTACTGACAAAATCAAATAAACAAAGTTTGTTTCGAGTCTTCAACAATCTTTTTTATCTCATATTTCCTACTAAATAAAAAACTATAGGCAAAAGAAAAAATCTTGACAAAATAATGAAGACACTGTTAAAATTAAAATATGTCTAGATACATTATTAAAGCAGCAACTCTCAAGAAGGTAGTCTAAAATTTTTTTTTTAATACCCGTTTTTAACCTCAATCAAAAGCGAACCAAAAGGGGAAAAAAAAATAAACTGATATTTTTTGAATAATTTGTCGCTTTTTTTTTTTAAAAATTATTTTAACTAATCATTTTTTTAAAATTTGAAAAAAAAGTATATCGTTTCCCAAATTTTTAATATGAGGTTAAGGAATTACAGGTGTCCCAAGTATTCTGAAATTTTATTCACGGGATCCCCATCGTTGGCCATCTGTACCGTATGCCGGAATTTTTACAAATCACAGATGTCACATGTGTTTTTTATTGGCTGCTGTATAAGTCACGCTGTCGATACATAAAGAAAACACGTTTTGGTGATTTTGTCAACTGTTTTTAATGAATTTAGAAGTCAATGATGAAAACTGGTTTGAGTTTGAGAAACAAAATTGCAGTTGAATTTTTTGGTCTTGAGTAAATCATTTAACAAAAAAATTGATGGAATTAAATGTAATAAAATTGTGAAAAATATAATGACATAGTAAAAAAAAATATGTAAAGCATGTAGGCATTTCAAATTAAATGAATACAAAACCTAGCATTCATAGAACACATATTGGTACTTGTTAAAGTAAATACATACACAGAAGAAAAATATCTTTTTATTTTTATGGATATGCATTGACAACTACAAATGTACAAATTGTTTCTCTATCGAGCTTAAATAGGTTAATATAAGGTTCAAGATAAACATTAACCTGAGTATGTTACAAGATTCATACAGGGCCAAATGAGCCGCGCCATGACAAAACCAGCATAATGGGTTTGCGACCAGCATGGATCCAGACCAGCCTGCGCATCCGCGTAGTCTGATCAGGGTCCCTGCTGTTCGCTTACAAACCCTATAACAAGAAGAGAAACTGATAGCGAACAGCATGGATCCTAATCAGACTGCGCTGGTCGCAAACCTATTATGTTGGTTTTGTCGTGGCGCGGCTCAAATCATAAATCCTTGTCTCGTACATATATCTTCAGCAAAACAATCTTCATCATTCCTACTAAAATCTGGGTCCTCATCAATAACTAAATCATGAAGATGTGCACGAAACATCATGAAATTTGTGAAAAGCAACATGATAACAATAATAATAATAATAATAATTATAATAATAATAATAATAATAATAATAATAATAATAATAATAAAAATCAGAAATAAATTGCAAAATAATGTCACAGGGATTATCACTGTGTCATGATAACTAAAATTTTCATAGGAACAATTGTTGAAATGAATTGACCCATATAATACAATTTATGACCATTTCAGAATAAAAGTTAAGCATATAAATATATGTTATAAAACCTTCCGGCGTTGAATAAAACTGGTTGCTTAAATCGGTATAGTTTATCTTCCTTTAAATGGACAAATGGTTTGATTAAAATATTTCCGAATGCATAAAAAATGTTCTTATGTGCAATACTATAATGAATGACATTCTCTTTATATGTCTAAATATAACAGTTAAAAAATGTTAACATAAGTTATAAAATTTTGTAAAATAGGGAGGAATGTAAAACAAACGGCATGTTATTAAATGTAACATTTTCTTCATTTATGAAAAAATAATCCCCCCCACCCCCCAAAAAAAAACAACAAACAACAACAACTTAATGATACTTAAAAATGTCCTTTAATGTACTAACTGGTGTCCTCCATGAAACATTTTATTAAATGTTCACTGGCAACAACGTGTAAATTCTCACAGTCAATTAAAATGAGTTTACCAGTAAATGCATCATTTCAGGTTTTCTTTTACAGAAAAAAGGAACTTGGTATTGTTTGGCAATAGTGAAAGAGTCTGATTATTTTTTGGAATTATTTTCCAGTAGTTTCCCTTTATATGTCGTCTAAGTATAAGAGGTGAAAAAAATTAACACAAGTTAAAAAAACTTTGTAAACTAGGGATGAACGTAAAACAACACGCCATGTTGTCAAATGCAACAGTTACATTACATGTATTTTCATTTATGTAACCCTCCCCCCGAAAAAGCAAAAAGCAACCTCCCCAAAACAATTTGCAATTAGTTTGTGTAAATTGTTACGATATATACACCTCTTTATTCACTCATTAATTGATTTTAATTTATACATTATGACCTAAATGGACCAGAATAGCCAATTCTTAGTACGTAGTCGCAAGTGTTAATCTTTTTTTTCAGATTCCTTCAACTTTTTTCAAATAACAATTATCTACATGTATATTCGTGATAATATGCAGCATGAGTACACAAATGTCAAAAAATGTATTTCTGACTTTGGTGAATATATATTAATATCTTATAATGTTTAGCTATCTCGGTCATGCAATGAATTTCTATGAACCTAAAAAACAGGAACAAGATTTTGTATTTTATTGAAGTCCTAGTTTTGTATTTCATTGAAGTCCTAGTTTACAAAAAACAACTGTTTTAGCTTTCATTTAAATAGACAACCCAACCGTCAACTAGAAAGTCTAAATCATAGGGACTAATGCACCCTAGCACACCTATGAACCATTCTCCGTTCTCGTCATAAGTCTTGACATCGGCAGCTGGTCGGCAGTACAAGTTCTGAGCTTTTGGGCCAATCCAAGTCTTCAAATCCTCTGCCGTTGCCCTGTGCCTTCTCAGCGACGAGCACGCTCCGAGAAAAACTGTGAAAGTGGCTAAACAGCAACAGAATACTTAAATAAATACTGTTCAGTCAATGTTTCGATTCGACAAAGTGCTACATTGGCCATAACTTTAAAAAAAATATCACTATGTCAGTAGCAATTTTTGACAACTGATAGATTTTTATGTATAGTAGAAACCTATGTCAGACGTTGATATTTTTTGCTTTTACATAACATACGCGCTATTTCATACTCGATCGTCATAGATAATAAAACATATCTGGTTTTGATAGTATCGATTTGCCGAACAGAAGCACATAAAAAATCGACAGACTTGAACCCAGGCTAATCGCCTTTCACAAAAATGGTCATGCCAAGCGGAAATCTCCAGGACACATTGTTTAGGTTGAGGCCTTGGTGCTCATATTGTGCAAAGAAGAATCTCGAAAGTTGTACAAAAACGAATTTGCAAAGGAATCAGACACATGGTGTTTTAACGGTTGGGTCTAGAATATATATGATATTTTTTCAACTTTAAACTTTAAAAAAATCCTGGTGTAGTTTTACATGATACATAATCTTACAAAAACTACAATATACTTGGATTTTAAATGGAGTTTCATTATGTATATATGAATTGATGTAATTTTTATGCATCGTTTAATACGGACTCGGGAATTAAACTCAAGTGAGATCCTCAAACCTTAACACATCTAATTTCGTACATAGATCAACTTGAACACATAAAACTGAAAGATATGCAAAACATGAAAAATTGAAAATCGTATTTGTGTGTTATTCTTTGCCCGATTTGAGTGAATAGCGTTGTAGCGTTGTTTAGTTTATTTTTTATTTATTTACTATATATTATTTTTTAGGGGGGGGGGTCCAAAAATGAAAAGAAAATAAGAAACTGAGCAAATGACCTGAAATATAGTTAACAAGTTACCAATCTAAACCGACATCAAATGGAATATTACTGTCGCAAAGTATTTCCAATCCTCCCATCATGCCAAAAAAGTCCTCAGGGCAATCCTAATCTTGCCCCCCCGCCCCCCAAAAAACACAACAAAACAAACAAACAAACAATAAAAAACATTATTCTTGTATTATGAATTGTATTATTTTATAGGGGTATAGGAATATTAAGGGATGTTTTTATTAATAGAATTACCTACGCTTCATTCTTAACGCCATTAAATTTCCGCAATTATCAGGAGTGGTTATTCTTTTAACATTTCTTTAAAACTTTGTAAGTTATATAACGATACTTGAAAAGAAACTGTAGCGCTTTATAGATTTAGGAAAAAACTATTTCGTGAACTTCAAGTGTTAGATACCCTTTTTTGCATTGCGTGTTTACATGTTTGATCAAAGAGTGAACTTTATTTTAAAACAGCAAATTAAGGATGACTATGATGGTATATCATAACGATTAAGTTTCCCACTATAATCTAATGTTACAGGAAAATTGAAAGTTTTGTTTACAATTTTAAACATCTTAAATGTGAAAGCGTGGGCGCACTTGTACATGTTATATAGTTAGAAGAGTTGTACTTGAAAATTGTTTACTGAAAAATTTACTGTTATATATATATATATATATATATATATATATATATATATATATATATATATATATATATATATATATATTATCATGATTATCATATTCCGAGACAAAATGTTTGTTTCAAATATATATTGACGGTGATTAGCTGGCATATTTAATATAGCTTAATAAAGCGTTCTTTTCCTGATAAAATGTGCGTGCGTGCGCGCGCGTGTGTGTGTTTTTTTTCTGATGACTACGGGTTCGATCCTCGGCAGTGAAATGCACAAGAGCAATACATTTAGTATATTGAATGGTTCAAAAGTTTATTAATTTTCCTTGCTGGTCCCTTAACAATGAAATGAGGGACATTCCTTGGACAAGTCATTACACATGCATTTGTTACTGGGTGGGGTATAATGCTGATATTCAGTTAGCTTTATGTATCAAAGAAAAAAGTAATAGAATGAAGAGAATTATGCACTACACTTTTTTGCTATTATAATTATGGAAGAGTCACTTTAAAACCTCGTTCATAGTTTGTTTTATATCAATCCATATTTAGCTTGATACAAAAAAAAATACATGTATTATAAATTATGGAATAGTTTAACCTGCACATTTCAATAATTAAAACAAAGAAATTCAGGCAAATTACATTTGGTCTTTTTTATTGATTTTTCTACTTGTTTATTTATTCATTTTTTGCCCAATTTTTTGAACAATTTTATTCTGCTTTTTGTATGTATATATGTATATATGAAAACTTGACAAGTCCCGAAAGCATCCTAAATATTGTTAATTTCAATTTACCGTAACCTATTTAAAGTTCGGTAAAGATATCTTTCATGAATATATTTTTCCCTTTCTTTCTCTTTTTGCTCTTCCCAAAATTTCAATGCAGATATGTGTAATATGTAATAAATAGCAGTATTTATTTCACTTTTGTTTTCATTGATCGAGAAATGTGACTTTGTCATGCCCATTTTAAAGGTTTAAATACAGTTTTAATTGTTGTATTTTCTATCAGGAAGAGATAAAGTTACATGGGGCAAGAGTTTGAATCGGGGAAAGTTTTAGTCATCAAACAATAAAGCTATTTTCATATAACGTGATCCTATATTATGTACGGGTCATGATTTCGCGTGGGATCTTACTGGATAATGTTCGTTTTGCGAAATAATTTTGTGAAATAAAATAAATTTGATGTGCGACTATCTGTATGAAATTTCAAACTTTATTTTATTCTTAAATAAATAAATAATTTATTGAGAATTTAAGAACACATTATAAATAAAACCTCAACATATTTTGAAGGTGGCCAACTGTTAGCATGAGGGTTTTGAAATCTAACAAAAGGTATACTAGTATCATTTGCAAAAAAGATTAAGTCTATCATACGGACACGTTGCACTGACATGTTATTAAAAATTTGGCTACATAAATAGATGATATTGAATGAGTGTAAGTTCAAGATTGAATTTATTGCACGAGTTGAATAGAATTATATCATGCGAGCCTCTGGCGAGCATAATATTATTTTATTCAACAAGTGCAATAAATTCAGTAATGAACTTACACGAATTTAATATTCTATTTATCACATACCCAAAATAAAGACCGTTTGAAGTGAAATAAGAGTCATTTTCCACTGACGCGCCTATTTTATAACGCTACCATTCAGCGCGTCTTTACACTGTGTTTGTATAATGCTAATGACGTCACGTCAAAATATATGCACGGCTGAACAATACCATATTTACGGAGTTACAAAATCGGCACGGGTGTGTGATAATGTAATTTTAGGCACAGGCAAGAGTATCGAACCTGGGAAGAAATTATGACCAAATTGATAAAAAAAACCTCTGTGTCCATCTTAGATGTGTCAACCCCCCCCCCAAAAAAAAATGTAAAAATATAAGCCCCCTAAATATATACTATAAGTTAATAGAAGGCTGGAATCTCAAGATTCGAGCCTACCAGCAAGCGGTTCATTTCCCTGGCTGTTGTGAAAACAATTATCCGGACAATTAAAGCAAACTTTTATCACTATTTCACGAATGTTTTAAGCCTCCAAATGAGACCAACCCCATGTCTCTAGCCCTTTTTTCCCTTAGGACCTTCATTACAGTAGTAATGATATTTCCTTCAGACCTTCATCGCAATAGCAATGTTCTTTCCTTCCGACCTTCATTATAATAGTTATGCTATTTCGTTCGGACCTTCATTACAATAGTAATGCTATTTCGTTCGGACCTTCATAACAATAGGTATGCTATCTTGTTCGGATATTCATTACAATAGTTATGCTCTTGCGTTCAACCGGCATCAGGATTAGGTAAAAGAAATCCGGAAGGAACGATATAAAAGTATTTTTAACAAGAATACTTCATTTATTTAAACTGAACACCTTTGGAAAACAGACCGAAAGAAAAGGATGAGATAGAATTAAATTTACGTTATAAGCGAGGGTGTGTGATGCAATATAATACCATTGTTAATGCGGGGTGTATAGTTATCTTAAACATTTGATCACGTAATTTCGGCGTATTAAATGGTTCGCTAACCCGCATATGACAATCTGCGTTTGGCAATACTTCGCTTTTGATACATTAATTTTGTTTAACCAACTTCAGCATCATTTTATCGTTGTTTTCATTATTTTTAAAAAAAAACAAAGTACACATTTATCAAAAGTACAGAAAAAATAATATACAAAAAAAAAACAACCAACAACAACAACAACAACAACAAAAAAACAACAAAATAATATAACAAGGAAAAACAGGATTTATGTGAACGCCAGTAGAATAGAGTATAAACTTTATTGACAGTTTCTTATTATTATTGAAATGGTTTCTCGACAAATATTTTGGATAGGAATGGCGGTCATTTTATCTCAGACTGGGCACGTGGCATCACACGGACGCTTGATTCAACCGGCCCAGAGGTCGTCTGCTTGGAGGTATGGATACAATAACCCGGAAAATTACAACGATAATCAACTCTTCTGTGGTGGTTTTAATGTAAGTAATCTTTTATCTAACTTTCTTTGGTGTTTATATACAGATAAAAAGCAAAATGGTTAAAATGAAAGGAACTGCTCAAAGTAAAAGCAACGACTTCTTATACCCTAAAATACGACCCATTAAAATCCTACTAATATAACACATTACGTCCTACTAAAATTCAACAGAATAGCTTACTATACTTCCGACTAAAATTGTACTAATTGTTTTTCTTAATAAAAGTCCTACACATATCCTACTGAATTTCTAGTAAATATCTGGTTATTTCCTACAAAAATTGTAATAAAGTTCCTATTAAAATTTCTATTAAAGATCTTGTTGAAATGCTAACCGACTAAAACGCTATGTAAAGCACACACAATAAGAAAATATTGAAATGGTTATATAGATTAGGCAAAATTAGTTCGTACGATTGATTAAAAATGTAAAGCAATATTAATTAATGTAATAGTTTCATTGTCACGGCAAATTGAAGCTCATATGATGCATTTGAGTACAAATTAAGTAATGTTCGAAAAGAAAAATATGGGTTTGGAACAGTTCCCCTAAAACAACACTCAAAAAACTTGTTTATGAAGAAGAGACCAACAATAAGCAAGAAGTATCTTTACTAAGATATTCGGCCGAAGTAAACCTGTTTTTACTTGCAAAATTGTGTTATTTAGGAGTTTTGTATACTTGAAATTTTTTAGCTTGGTGCTTGTTTAATAATGAAAGTTGTATCGTAGTTTTGGGACCTTTTTGTTGAAAATGTGTCAGAGTTAAATCTTATACATATACATGCACAGTGCGTTAACTGGAGTGCAGGTATTAGTTACCCGCACTCCATAGCATGCCCATTGATTGGCTCATATGTGCTGAGAAAGGGAAAGCAACATAAATTATATATTCAGATACTTGTTCATTGGTTATTTTTTTTCTGGGGTTCAATATTGTGACAACAGGGAACGTGTTTTTATGTTTGACAATGATACAAAAGAAAAAGAGCATCAAAACACTCTGCAATCTGATTAATACTCGGGGGGGGCTCCACCCCCTTGTTCAATTCAGATAGCATCGTGTTTCGATTCTCTTTCTATTACTAATTTTACGCGTGCAAATTCTTGCACCCATTCTATCGAAGACGCAACAACGAATAACAAACTGATAATCTGATTCGTACTCAACATTTTCGCTTCAATTCATTTCCCCTCATATTTATTGTTTATTGATGATGAATACCATTTTAGATCTAAACATTATTAATTTACTAGTACATTGCATTTTTCAATTAAATTAAATGAAATTCTATATTAAGAAGGAGGTTTCTTTTGTCGATATTTTTAACTCTTGATTTGTAAGTAATTGTATTATGAAGTATTTGTATTTTATTGCGATGTCTTGTTGTTATTTTATTACAGATTTTATTCTTTATAAAATAAACTTATAAAATAGAATTAGGTTTTTTCTGTGAAATCCACTTCATAGAAATTTTATACAAAGCGGAATAATTTTTTTAATATAATTTCGAAAATGTGCAAATGCCCAAGTTGCAAATTATTTCTTTATTTCACATCTTAAAATTGTATATATACTAGTATATAAATTTTATCTTTCTTGTAATTTACCGAGTTCACTGAAAACAATTCATACCTCAAAGTAACTCTGTCTGTCGTAGTTATTCATTCTTCAACGAGTTATCTCTCTTTAATATTAGTAACAGCTCCTGAAGATATTTTCGTATATTCGTATTTTATATTTAATAAAATCTAAAAAACAAAAGCAAAACACTTCAAATTAATAATGCTTCCTTCAATGTGATACATTGTTCCTTGAACTTTAGCGATGTGAGTACAATAGTAATTTTATTGGACTCGTATAGTCTGATTTTGATGACCTGTCAATTGTGAATATATTATAGAACTAATTTAAATCTTCGATTCCACTTCGGTGCTTTCCGTGTAGTTTACAGGAATTAATAGTATATAACGAATGTCACATCAGCTTTACAGTGTATATTGTCCCGTCACATCAGCAATAGTCGGTTAAGTGATTGCCTAATATACGAGAGGTCTGTGGTTCGATTCCAACTGTTCCCATTGTTTTAGATCTACTCTTTCTATATTTTGCAATATATTTTACTGGGAATTGCCGAGTGTTTGTGTAATTTAGTGCTGATATAAAGCAACTTAGAAACACTGTTTTGTCTCGATTTGTAAATGTGTTTTACAACATTGAAATGAAATAATATTACATTGATTTTGATCTGAATGAATTTTAAATATTACTTCTTAAACTTTGTTTAAAAAGAGTATGGACATTACCAAAATAAGTTCAAAACATATTAAAACAAAACGGACAACATAAAAAAAATCAAACAATTCAATAATGTTGAAAATGTAAATAAGGAAAAAACATGTACCTTTGCAATTTCGATATTGCGCTATGACGCTCAGTATAACTATTTCATAGACACAAATTAAGTTAAATCTTACTGCGATCATCTCACGGAATTTACCAAAAATGTATCGAAGATAAATGTATCGAGTTCATTGACCGTACGTTCATTGACAGTATGCAATTGAAAGGTTAATAAAATCAAACAATACTTGTACAGTATGGTTCGAATCCCTTTAATAGTTAAAGCTGAAAAATCGCCATATGATTATTGATTTAAATCGAAAAACAAACATTTATATTTTTATCATTATTTTTATTTATTCTATTATTATTATTGTTATTATCATTATAATAATAATAATAATAATAATAATAATAATAATAATAATAATAATAATAATAATAATTATTATTATTATTATTATCATCATCGTTATTATAATCGTTATCGTTATTGTTATTATTACTTTTATTATCATTATCGTTATTAATATTATTGTTATTGTTCTAATTAATATTATTATTATTATTTTTATTATAATAATAATTATACATTCAATATCCGTTACAGAATCTGTTCGACAAATTGCGTGCATTTTTCTCTCAGGTACAGTGGAACCAAAATGATGGTAGATGTGGTGTCTGTGGTGATCCTTATAATGCACAAGTAAAGCCAAACGAAGATGTAGGCGGTTTATACGTCGTTAATGGCGTCATCACAGGAAGTTACGACAAAGGCGGCGTCCTTAATACGGAAGTAGAAATAACGGCTTATCACAAAGGATGGTTTGAATTTAGGTTATATACAATTTTATTACATGCTTTTCGGTGGTTTATAGAAATATATCAGTGATATAAAACTGGTAATTTCACTGTTTGAATTTCAACGAAACTTGATTGTTTCGACATTATCGTCAATTTAATCAAATAAGCGTCAAAATACTTAAGAATAACAGAATCAGTGTAATTTTAACGCTTATTGTGTAAACAATTGCTGATGTCACGCAGGGCATGGGTTGGGAGACAATCATAAAGTTTCAAGCTCTCTCATATTTTCTTTTTATGTTGATTTATATTTCGCAGACTTTGCCCTCTCGCAACAACAACAACAAAGGTCACACAAGAATGTTTGAATCAGAATGTTTTGACGGTTAAAGGTACAAACACGACACGCATACAGTTAGAAGAAATCAAGACGGGTTTAGGGCCGGGAGTTTATATTATAAACCTTCAGTTACCATCCACTATTACGTGTGAAAGATGCGTTCTTCAGTGGAAATACAATACAGGTACATAACAAATTTCTGATATAAAACATTAAATGAAATCAGAACCCGCGTTGGTCTGATTGATGGCGTGACAAAAAAGAAAAACAAAAAAGAAAGACAAATGAAAAAAAATCTAGATCACTTGTCACCTCATTATAAATCGAGGTTATGCATTTAAAACAAAACAAAAGATATGTCAACATAAGCAGTAAATTAATTGCCATGGCGAACCGGTCTAAATTTTACATTTAGCCAATCAGAAACGAATAACTACAATGCTTTTTTGTTAATATACAACGTCGCAACCCCACTACATGTTACAGTCGCCGCTAAATGTGGCAACCTCACTACATGTCGCACTCGCCACTAAATGTGGTAACCTCACTACATGTCGCACTCGCCCCTTAATGTGGCAACCTCACTACACGTCGCACTCGCCACTAAATGTGGCAACCTCACTACATGTCGCACTGGCCGCTAAATGTGGCAACCCCACTACACGTCGCACTCGCCACTACATGTGGCAACCTCACTACATGTCGCACTGGTCGCTTAATGTGGCAACGTCACTACATGTCGCATTGGCCGCTGAATGTGGCAACCTCACTACATGTCGCACTCGCCACTAAATGTGGCAACCTCACTACATGTCGCACTCGCCGCTTAATGTGGCAACCTCACTACATGTCGCACTCGCCACTAAATGTGGCAACCTCACTACATGTCGCACTCGCCGCTAAATGTGGCAACCCCACTACATGTCGCACTCGCCACTAAATGTCGCAACCTTACTTTATATCACTCTCGCTGCTAAATGTGGCAACCTCACTACATGTCGCACTGGCCGCTAAATGTAGCAACCTCACTACATGTCGCACTCGCTCCTAAATGTGGCAACCTCACTACATGTCGCACTCGCCACTAAATGTGGCAACCTCACTACATGTCGCACTCGCCGCTAAATGTGGCAACCCCACTACATGTCGCACTCGCCACTAAATGTCGCAACCTTACTTTATATCACTCTCGCTGCTAAATGTGGCAACCTCACTACATGTCGCACTGGCCGCTAAATGTAGCAACCTCACTACATGTCGCACTCGCTCCTAAATGTGGCAACCTCACTACTTGTCACACTCGCTGCTAAATGTGGCAACCTCACTACATGTCGCATTGGCCGCTAAATGTGGCCTTTAAACTTTCATTTATTTTATTTTCTTAAGATGGGAAGTTATCAATGCGATAGGTACATCAACGGAACACTTTTCAATGACACACATTATTACAAAAAGTCAAAAATAAGAAGTACATAAACAGAAAGAGGACAAGTCCATGAAGTTGGCACAGAGATCGACATTAAACATTCAGCTCGACATTCGATTTATCACTGTTGAGCTAGGTTGTGAAGCTAGCAAGGCATTGAGCAGAACATTCAGCTCGACATTCGATTAATCATTGTTGAGCTAGGTTGTGAAGCTGGCTAGACATTCAGCACAACATTCAGCTTGACATTCGTTTTGTGTCTAATTTTGAATGTCGAGCTGGGATGTGAAGCTGGCTAGACATTCAGCAGAACATTCAGCTCGACATTCGTTTTTTGCATATTTTTGAATGTCGATCTGGGATGTGAAGCTAGCTAGACATTCAGCACAACATTCAGCTCAACATTCGTGTTTGTTCAATTTTGAATGTCGAGCGCGGATGTGAAGCTGGCTAGACATTCAGCACAACATTCAGCTCAACATTCGTTTATTGCCTATTTTTGAATGTCGATCTGGGATGTGAAGTTGGCTAGACATTCAGCATAACATTCAGCTCAACATTCGTTTTTTATCTAATTTTGAATATCGAGCTTGGTTGTGAAGCTGGCTAGACATTCAGCACAACATTCAGCTCGACATTCGTTTTCTGTCAAATTTTGAATGTCGAGCTGGGATGTGCAGCTGGCTAGACATTCAGCAGAACATTCAGCTCGACATTCGTTTTTTGTCTAAATTTGAATGTCGAGCTGGGATGTGAAGCTTGGTAGACATTCAGCAGAACATTCAGATCGACATTCAAAAATAGGCAATAAACGAATGTTGAGCTGAATGTTGTGCTGAATGTCTAGCTAGCTCCACATATCCCAGATCGACATTCAAAAATAGGCAAAAAACGAATGTCGACATGAAAGTTCTGCTTAATGTCTAGCCAGCTTCACATCCCAGCTAGACATTCAAAATTAGACAAAAAACGAATGTCGAGCTGAATGTTGTGCTGGATGTCTAGCTAGCTTCACATACCAGCTCGACATTCAAAATTAGACCAAAAACGAATGTCGGGCTGAATGTTGTGCTGAATGTCTAGCCAGCTTCACAACCCAGATCGACATTCAAAAATAGGCAATAAACGAATGTTGAGATGTATGTTGTGCTGAATGTTTAGCCAGCTTCACATCCCCGCTCGATATTCAAAATTAAACAAAAAACGAATGTCAAGCTGAATGTTGTGCTGAATGTCTAGCCAGCTTCACAACCTAGCTCAACAATGATAAATCGAATGTCGAGCTGAATGTTCTGCTCAATGCCTTGCTAGCTTCCCATACCAGCTCAACAGTGATAAATCGAATGTCGAGCTGAATGTTTAATGTCGATCTCTGTGTCAACTTCATGGACTTAAAGAGGACCTAGTTAAGAGAAACAGAAATTAGTCCATATCCTAACCGTAATAATGTGCACTATATTTTGAAAGAATCTGAACTACCTGCTATGTTCATTTGAATGTCATTTCCAGTTTTGTCTATATATTATTAAACAGGAAATAGCTGGAATTGCGATTCCGAAGGATGTGGTATTGGTCGTGGCCCTCAAGAAAATTTCGTGAATTGCGCTGATATCCGAATTAATGACGAAGAAACCGGAACTGCTACGACTGACAGTAGTCCCTGTCGCACAGCTAGTGCAGCGTTGACGTCCGACAACGTATATCGCTGCTTCGTCAACTAGGTAAGAGACAAGCGTTTAACTACATCATGGCAATATATACGGAATTAGACAAAATAAATTAAAGAAATTCTTGGTAACAAGGTGATGTAAAATTATAAACCTTAAATTATATTTTCCAAATGGATTTCCATTTTAGAGATTTTATAAGCGTTATGAAAATTTGGCCGCCTTTTGTTTATCAAAATGTAATTATAATTTGCTGATCATTTTGGATAATTTAATTAAACCAGTTCATATTCCTGTTTAGGCATTAGTTAATTTTGACATTGATTTATTTTCAAAAGTTTAACGGAAGAAGGAACAACAACAACGACACCAACAGCAACAACGGAAATGGAAACAACGGAATCTCCAACAACAACAACAACAACAAACGGTGATGACTTTGAAATATGCTCGTCAAGTATGGCATGTTTGGCACTAGAGCCATATTCGAGTATTCCAGGCATTTTACAGTGGTGCTGTGACAACTGCGCTCAAGGTCACTGTCCGATGACTCACTGTTTATGCATATACACATAGTCTATTCGCTGACATTTCTGTTTATTAGAATTTCACATGTATCTTTTATGTTGAATGCTTTGAAAGCTAATTCCCATTCCTATTGGTTGATCATACAATAATAATTATTGACAATAATAATCCATATTAGATTTTGTAATCCATATGAGAAACATGAGTGCATTTTACAATCATAAAATATCTGAGTAAAGGAACTCTTCAAAGTGGAAGCAATAAGAAAATAACTTTCTAGTTTCAATTAAATAAATTGGTAAGAAAAAAAGCCATATTGTGTAATTTACATTTTACCAAGACAAGGTGAACTAGACGATGTAAATAAGGTACTATTTATTTATTTAGACTGGAATGAAGGACCAGAGTGACTTTTTGGTCTATATTCTAAAATGCAACGGTGGACCTTTAATAATGTTGCTCTAAGTTTTTGGTAAATTGCTTTCGAGATTAATGTTTTATGTATGTCCAAACCAAAGCATTTTGTGAAAACATTCAGATCATTCGCTCACTTCTTTTTCTCCAGAGTATTTTTTTAATTGCACTCATATCAAGTACGAGAATGTTTAAAATTAAAATATATAATATGTGTGTAAATAAGATACAAGTAAACCATACGATTTAATATTCAGGCGTACAGCTAATTTTTAAATTTTTGAATTTGTAGATATTGTTGTTTAAGTTTAAAGGAAGCTGAGAAATTTTATTTTTTAAAACTTTTTCACACAAGTTTCACAACTTTATACCAAATGGAACAAATGTAATGTACAAATGTATCAAACTAAAAACATTATCATTCAGACTTGCTGCCTGTTTATTATTATATATACTATATTTTATAAATTTATTAAATCTAAATTTGATTATATTTTTTCGAAATAACTTCGATTTAATTATAAGCACAGATTGAATTCTTTGACAAATGTACATCAATACATGTATAACCGTCGTTTATCAAATGTGATTTAAAACTATAGCAATTAATACAATTATAAATTTAGGACGTCTACCTGTATTGTTAATAAGGCGATTAAATACATTGAATTCATACTTAATTCAGAAATATTCATTTCGGGAAGTATGATATAGCATTGCCGCGTTTTATTTCGTGGATATGAAATGGTGTTGAAACTAGAGGGTAATCATTTTTCTCATGATACAGTCTACGTAGTAAAATGCTTAAAACTGCCTGATCAAATCTGTGACACCTTCCATCAGATGTTTTGCTTATCCGACAAGATAACTTCAGGTGAGTGCCTTCAGGAGCTATACAGTTTTCATTTAATGCGCACGCAGCCCACACATCTACTACAGTATGTGTGACGTCATCAAAATGAAACAGCACAAATGTTGCTTCAACTTCACCAAAATGGCGGAATTTACATCGATCTTCTTTCAGGTACTCCATTGTCTGAACATCGGTGTGTTGAGCCACTGAAAACACTACACCGTAAGTAAAGAATAAGACTGAATTGTTTTTACTATAGGTCAACGCGCGATCGACGTCACTTGTGACGTAACGTACTGAACTGTCTGCCCACCATACCCAGCCATATTCCATCAATAATGTCTGAAAAGAAAAAATTGAAGAAAAAATCAGAAAACTTTGTAAGCGGGACTGGTCATTATTATTTCTTACGTTATTTAATAATGAAGATATACATGTATATCAAAGTGTGGAGGAAACGCCCGCGCAGAATAATTCAATAGTTTTTGCCATTCTTAAAAATAAATAATTTTAAAATAAAGACACGGTTTTCTTCCAGGATTTTTAGGAAAGAAATAAACGGGCAATGGAGTTCATTTAATATTCTTTTTGAGTTGAAATTCATCACAATAGCTTAAAATCTTGAAATAACGTTGAAACAAGTTTTCTTACAAGAGCTGTCGATAGGACAGCAACGCTCGACTATTCTTAGTGCTTGATAGTAAAAAAAGACTTGATAATGTAAAATTTTACATTAAACAAGGGTGCCATAGTCACAAAATACGCCCGTTTACGAAAGCTTTAGATGGAGATGGGGGCATTATGGAATAAGTGTTATCTAGCAAGCAAGTTTTTATTCTTGGCACTGTGTTGTTAAATGAACCTTAAAACAAATCAGTAGGGAAGATATGCACAGGATGTGTGACCTTGACCTTGGTCGCAGGGACCTGAATTTTATGCACGGCACTCCGCCTCACAATGATGAACATTTGTGCCACATTATATTGAAATCCCTCTATGCATGTAGAAGTTTTGCTCCAGACAAGCGTTTTTCTATGAGCTCTAACTGTGACCTTCACCTTTGACCTAGAGACTTGGTTCATGTGCAGGGCACTACGTCTCATGGTGGTGAACAATTCTATAAAGTAACATTAAAATTCCTCCATGCATGTAGAAAATATGCTCCGGACAACATCTGGATATTTAATCATCTCCAGTGACCTTGACCTTGCAAATATTAACCTAAATTAAATGTGTCACACCTGTAGTCATGATAGTTACCATTTGTGCTACAATCCATCAATAAATGATGACTAAATGGTCCCTATACACATCTTCAAATTTTTATCTGAACTTCGACCTCTATGTGTAACATTGACTTTGGTTGCAGGGATCTGAATTTTGCGTGCGACACTCAGCCTCACAATGGCGAACATTTGTGCCAAGTTATATTGAAATCCCCCTATGAATGTAGAAGTTTTGCTCCGGACAAGCGTTTTTCAATGAGCTCTAAGTGTGACCTTGACCTTTGACCTGGAGACCTGGATCATGCATGGAGCAATACATATCATGGTGGTGAACATTTCCATAAAGTATTATAAAAATTCTTCCATACATGTAGGAGATATGCTCCAGACAAAATCTGGATATTTCACCACCTTTAGTGACCTTGACCTTGCATATATTGACCTAAAGTACATGTGTCACAGCCGTAGTCATGATAATGACCATTTGTGTTACAATCCCTCAATAAATGATGATTAAATCGTCCCTATACACATCTTCATATTTTTATCTAAACTTTGACCTCTATGTGTGACCTTGACCTTGGCCGCAAGGACCTGAATCTTGCGCGCGACACTCCGCCTTACAATGCTGAACATTTGTGCCAAGTAATATTGAAATCCCTCTATACATGTGTAAGTTTTGCTCCGGACAAGCATTTTTCAATGAGCTCCAAGTGTGACCTTGACCTTTGACCTAGAGACCTGGTTCATGTGCGCGACACTGCTCCTCATAGTGGTAAACATTTCTATGAAGTTTCATGAAAATCCCTCCATACATGTAGGAGAGCTGAACTGATATTTACTTGAAAATTAAAATATAATTAAATTTCTATGAGAAAGTATTTACATTTGATAAGGTAATTACTGTATCATCTTTATGAACACTGCTCCTCATAGTGGTGAACATTTCTATGAAGTTTCATTAAAATCCCTCCATACATGTTGGAGATATGCTCCGGACAAAATTGGACGCCGCCCGCCCGACCGCCCGCCCGCCCGACGGCCCGCCCGCCAGGGGCGTTCCCATAATACGTCCCGTTTTTCAAACGGGCGTATAAAAAGTTAACAAAAGGGCAAAATTTGTCTTTAAATCCATGTTACAGTTATTGGCCTTGAAGAGAGTCCTATTATACTCTCAAAGAAGAGTATAAAATTTCAACTTGTTTCAAAGCCATATGTTACAAGAATATGAAAATATTTGAGGTGGTATGCAAACTTTAATGTAAATTATAATGCAAATTGTAATGCTTCATAGAGTTACCTCCTCCTGTTTACAGGTTGGGGTCTTGATGGTGAACAAGTGAGCAAAGTTTCAAAGCCATACTTCTGTCAATGGACTTTTAAAATATTTGAAGTATTACAAAGACTTGAACGTAAATTCTGAGTCGAAAAGGGGCATAATTCTGTCAAAATGCTTGATACAGTTACGTCCTCCTGTCTTCAGGTTGAGGTCATAGTTGTAATTAAGCGGGCAAAGTTTCAAAGTCATATGTCAATGGACGCTGAAAATATCTGATGTATTACAAAAACTTTAACTAAATTCTAAGTCTAAAAAGAGGCATACTTCTGCCAAAATGCTTCATAGAGTTACCTCCTCCTGTGTACAGGTTTGGGTCATGTTAGTGAACAAGTATGCAAAGTTTCAAAGCCATATGACAATGGACTTTGAAAATATTTGAGGTATTACAAAAACTTAAACTTCGAAAAAGGGGCATAATTCTGTCAAAATACTTGATACAGTTATCATCTCCGGTCTACTGGTTGGGGTTATGATGGTGAACAAGTGTGCAAAGCTTCAAAATCATATGTCAATGGACTTTAACAATATTTGAGGTATTACAAAAACTTTAACTTTTACTTTGGTAAATTGGCAAATCAGTATAGTAAATCAACTGTTTATAAAAATAATTTCAAACACTAAGCTGGTTAAAATGTATAAGTACGTATTTACAAAAATAAATTGGTCGTGCGCCTGACCAATTTAATTTTGTAAATCCGTACTAATAAACTTTAACCTATTCTTAATAATAAAAATACATGTAGTTTTTTATTACTCAACAATAAAATATTGCATCGTCAGAAACTATGGTTACAGTCGCATTATATCCATTTAGTGTTAAGCTGAAAATCAAAATAACGGAAATTCTGGTTTCGCTTTTCATGAATATTCAATAAACCATGCGACCCACTGAAATTTAAATTGATATTCTTCGAAAATTGCCGGTCACGTTGGAATATTAAAGGAACCTGCAACAGTTTTTTTTAAATGTCTAACATTTCCTTTTTGATATTCACTCTTAATCATATTACTTTCAATTATTGGTCTATTTACCAAGAAAAAGAGCAACATTTCAATCTAACTTTCACCTACCTTTACTATTATAGGTTTCCAAGCATAAGTTTTTAGCCTTTTAAAATGTCCGGGGAATTTTGCAAATGGAAAACTCCTCACTTCACAAATCTTGCAGTGGGTCTCCAACTGGAAAATTAATGGACACAAACGTGTTTATTATCGTTAGATTTAAAGCAGATAATCGTAATAATGGATACCTTGTGCCATCAATTCATAAAAATGCTAGGATATAATGATATTGATAAAACAATTTAGGAAGCAAATGTTTAATCAAAAGGTTGCACGCTCTGTGTTATTTCTTATCTTTGCAATCTAATTTGTATGTATTTTCCTCTATAAGTTTATTTTGATAAACTATAATTTATCTTGCAGGACACCGGGTTGCAATAAGAAACTAATTGCGACTGCAATTAGATTTTTTTGCTATATAACAGTTTGAACTTGATACATACGGAATTGTGTATGACTAGACTTTCTTCTTGCATCATGAAATCATTCATCTTCATTTTTTATGACAGCCAAACTTTATTCCTGCATATCGCATCTTGCATAATGTTAAAATTGTTATAAATTCACTTAAAAGATAAAAAAAAATACTAGTCTCGTGCAAGAGTGTTACCCCTGGACTACGGAGATTGTAAAAAAGGCTGAATAAAATCAAATGATTCTATATTTAGAATTTCCATTTAGGGTACTTCTTATAAATGTTCTCGCCAAAATAGTCCGGCATGTATATATTATACCACTCGACAATCAAATTTATTAGTGTAATGCGCACTGAAGTCTTCGATAATCGACATCGCTAAAAATAGCATTTTGTTTACGCGAATTAAATTATCGGGTGCTTAACCTATAGGTAGATATTGATTATCGATCGTCGACTGATAGAGTCAACATCCTTACTTTATTTTTCACAAAGTCTAAATAACAAATGTTTATAAAGGGGGCGTTTTATTCCAATCACAATAATTGAATCTTTACGGAAATAGAATAGCAATTTTCATTGATAAAAATGATATTCATCCGCGTAATTTGTGAGTGTGACAATTCTATAAGCCAAAGCCAAAGCTACTTTGAATGCGTTGTTATTTGTTGGATACTTGTAACACAATAAAAATACTTTTCTTTTATATCGCTAGTTTTAAGCTGTTTTGAAATATACCTGTTGTTAGGTTTGACGGGAAGCGCTGATCCCGAGAATGAATGTCAGCATTGTATTTCCGTATCTGCGATCAGAAAATACAAAATTGCGTTGAAAGTTTTTTTTATTAGGGTTCTTAAAACTTTGGCTTTAATTTTGGGCGGTACAGTTAAATGCGTAAGGCGACGTTGCAATACTTTGGATACACGTAGAAAAATGTCCACATTTCAGGCATGGACGTTCCTGTGATAAGGAGCAAATTTTCAGAGCTAAAGGAATAGGCAAATCAAAGACAAAATTATTAATACGATCCTATTTACTCACACCACGCTTAAATGTCACTTCATAAAGTCCCAGCATGAATTTCCGACTTTATAAATTCTATATATTTTGGGTTTGAAGAGTATATATATATATATATATATATATATATATATATATATATATATATATATATATATATATATATATATATATATATATATATATATATATATATATATATATATATATATATTGAACGAAATTTAGACGCCAAAGAATCACCGAGTAGTTCTAAAACAAGTCATTTGACTTGAACAAAGCCTGGAAATTACAATAACAGATATTGTGGATATTGTATGATTTAAGCAAGTCTGTCATTCATTTGACATGTTCTTTAACGTTTCCAGGGTTAACTGTGGCATTTATTGTATGATATTCACGATCTAAACTGACCCACGTGCATAGGTCAAGGTAGGAAACCACAATTTTATTCTTTATATGGAAAACAGTATTGTTTTTGTGACTGCCTATTGTATTCATTTTGAGGAAATTTACAAAATACTGAATGACAAAAATCAAAACGAAGAAATGAAAATTTTGCCTGTTTCATCCTTTAATATTCGAGAAAAAAAAGATAAAACTGCTGCAGATTCTTACCTGCACTTTTTGGTTATCATTGAGTCCCATGTCATAGTAGACTATTTTGATATTTTTGTATTTTGGCAACAATATCTCATAGACAGATTTTATCAACCCTTGCGAGATACGATAAAATCCGCTACTTGCCGCAGTCGCAACGACTGGGAATGTTTCAGACATGGTCTTTGGTTCTGACCGATTTTCGGCAATGATATACATGTATTTGTCAGCCAGTCCACGTGGGTATCGAGCGATATGTTCCAGATTTTTCTTCAACGAGTCTTCAAACCATTGGTCGCATAAACCTCGGTACTTTTGTTCTAAAATGAGAGGACAATATGAACCACATCATTTGAAATTTGTGCCTATATTTATAAACTATCTTGATAAAGAATAAGTATATAATGCGTGACTTCCGATAATTGTAATGAATAATTCTAACCGTGATACGCTTATATTTGAAATAGACTTGCCCACCTGTAAATAAAATTGATTAAAATTTGTTGACTGAATTAATGAATGAATTTATTTATATATTTATATAGTATTAATTAGTTTACTCATTCATTAATAAATAAATAAATAATTGGACCGGACCTTTTTCATTTAAATAAAAGGTCGGAGCCAAATTTTATCATGTAGAAAAACTTTTACTGTTAAATTTCCGATCCGATATATAAAACAAAAAAGATATGGATGAATTCTCCCTTTATGTTACTCTCCGATTACGCTATAAGGGGGTATTTCTCCAATTACGTTATAATGGGAGATTTCTCCCATTTTAATTTTGGGAGATTTCCGCACCATTTTATTTTTGGGAGATTTCTCCCATTTACTAAATGGGTTAGTTCAGCCAATGGGAGGATTGCAAAATTCTTTAAATATATTCCTAATATACTTATAAGTATATTATAAGTATTATAGATTCAACATATGTAAAAATGTTTAGAAAAAAAAATTTTCTCCCACGGTTTTATTCTCCCACTTTAACAAAATGGGGTTTAAAGCCCACTGAAGTCCCAGTGGGACACGTAAACCCCCATGGGAGAATTAAAAAAAACAACATGGGAGGCCACACTTTGAACGCTCACCCAGTGTTTAATTATTGCGCTATCTTTGTATAATCGGCCAATGATCGTCCATTTTTATCCAAATTACTGTTTGATTTAACTTTTTGTATTGAAAATATATTAAAAAGGGTAATTGAGTTTGCGAAAATTCCGGATTTGCAAACTTATTCTGGAGGCTGTTATGTAATAAAGACCATAAGCCATTTTCGGAGTAAATTAAAAAAAACACACACAAAAAACCCCCCAACAAAACATGTTTTTTATAACTGAACTGCAAACAGTGCAGACTATGACCGAATAACATTTTAGTTTACATTGGTATAATTAATTGCCACTTGCAGAAAAGAGCAATTTTGAATAACTTTCTTTATACTACTGTATAAAAATTAAACGTCATTTACGTAATCCTACATACTCTTGGTGACGGCTTGTGTTGTTAAAGGAAGCACGTGACGATGTGTACTGTTTCCGCTTCCGGAAACCTTTAGCTGTCCATATATTGAATTGTCATGGACTCCACTATTTACTGTAACTAATGAAGAAGAAAAAGACAAATAAAGTAATTTGTAATTCAAATAAATTCAAATACTTTTAAGACAGGCAATTGTGACCAAAGAGCGTCTTAAGGGTAAATGTGCCTGGCAATAAGGTGCCTTTTTCTCAATTTAGAAGTAAATGAATGAGTAATATTCAAATAAATTTAACACAAAAGTGCGTCTTAAGGTCTTAATGGTTGCTCTAGGTGGCCTAGTGAATAAGGTGCCTATCTCTCAATTATGTGACCCTTGGTTAGAGCTTTACTTTTAAAAGCTAGTGAGCTTCAGGCAAGTAAACCAGGGTGGTAATTATTCCTGCATATATCTTATGAGA